CCTCTGAGGATAAGGAGACTGTGGGCTAAAACAGACCCAGACCTGGAAACAACTTGTACCAGAACCTGAGGCATGCAGCTCAATGCACAATAGCTAAGACACTGAATCAACCCAAATGCCAGTCAACTGAAGACTGGAAAAGAAATTATGGGATATGTATACTATGAAATACTACACACAGTAAAAAAAGAAAGAAATCCGGTCATTTACAACAAAATGGATGCATATGAAAACATCATACTTAGTGAAATAAGCCAGTCCCAAAGGGACATATATCATATGTTCTCCCTGACCTGTGATAACTAATAGGGTACCTAAAAGACAATCTATAGAAGCGAAATTGACACTTTGAGAAGCAATGACTCAAGCAGCCCTTGTTTTGATTGTTGAGAAGCAGTTTTTTAATACTATTTGTTGAACTCTTTACTTAACATAGAGTTAAACATACATGTGTAAAGTCAATTGAAAATAGATCTCAGTAAGAAATAAGAATGGGAATAAGAGAGGGAGGAGGAAGAGGGTTTGGGAGTATGAGTAGGAAGGTGAGCATGTTGGGAAGAATCACCATGTTCCTAAAGTTGTGATTATGGAGTGTATGAAGTTTGTAACTGTATAGCTGTATAATTATACATACATTCCTGCAGACTTACTTCTAAGGGTACAGTTTAAAAGCTTGAGATGGGACCCCAGATCCCCTTAGGCTGGGTGGTAAAAACCATTTTAAGTGTTAAAGGGGTCATATGGATAGGATTAAGGGTCTGGTAGTAATAATAGATAGAATTTAAAGGGAATGAATGTTCCAACATGGGAAGCAGTGCACACAGCAGACTCATAGAATTACAATCACTTTAGATAGCACTCTGACCTCAGAATCAACTCTTAACGCATTTTGGTCTTGCTGAAAAGCCCATGAGAGCACTTCAGGCATGGAAAGCCAAGATACTGTGGCAAAAAAAATGTCCTATATGAAGGACCTCGGTGGGTGAGACCCAGTGGAAAGAAGTGGTCATCAAACAAGGAGGTACTTTTCTCTGAAGGGAGGAGAGAACTTTCACTTTGCTTATGGCTTTGTCTAAATACTGGTAAGAGACTGTGGATTCTAAAGGCTTCCATAGCCTAGGCAGCACATGTCAAGAACCTCAGGTTATCACTGACATCATAAATAAGAGTGTGAATTGTTAATTAACAAGAGTCACTGTATATTAATTTCCCATGTGGGACCTCTGACCTCAAAGAGTTGTATTATAATTATGTCTAAGTGCTCACAAAAGATGTAACATTCTTGGGTGCTTCTTTAAAGTTAATTAAGTTTCTTTTTTTTAAAAAAAGAAGTGAAATTAACTTCAAGATGCAAAATGACTTTGATCAGCCCTTGTCTCATCTGTTGAAGAGCAGGTTTTGTTTCTTTTCTGTGCAAATTGTTGAACTCTTAGTATAGAGTTGGTCTTCTGTGTATAAAGTTAATCGAAAGTGGATCTTAGTGGAGAATGGGACTGGGAATGGGAGAGGGAGGACAAGGAGGGGTAGGAGTGTGGGTGGGAAGGCAGGTATGATCCTAAACCCTAAAGTTGTGTTTATGAAATGCATGAAGTCTGTACTCCTTAAATAAAAGGTTTCTTTGGGGGGGAAAATCAAACAGACAAAGAAGCAAAAGATAGAGAAAGCAAAAAAAAAAAAAAAAGCCTAAGGCAGCTGCAGCCAATGGACCCTTGTCACTGCCGGGGGTTCTGCTTCTCTCTGCTCATTTGCTCTGCATCTCTCGTGCTCCTGAGGGGCCCGTGTACCCTGGAGTTTTAGTGGACGAGAAGGAGAGCTGAGCCACAGTAGGAGTTGCTGCCAGAGTGTGGATGCCTGCCTTGGGTCAGGAGGGCGGCTGGATCCTGTTATGAGACGTGCACTGGAGGTGCCCCTTGAGCAGCAGCAGGGGAGAGCTGCTTCCGTCACAAAAGCTGCCTGGCAGCCCTGCCACAGCTCAAACGTCCCAGTGGTGTCCAGTTACTCCATAATCAACTTTGCCTACAATCTCTTACCCAACTCTCTGGAGTGAGAACCAATGCAATGTGTGTTGAAAAAACAGGAGAGGATGCTTGACCTAGCCATTAAGATGCCTGTGTCCCATATTGAAGTGCCTAAGGGGTCAGCATTGAGGCATAGCAGGTAAAGCCACCGCCTGCAGTGCCGGCATCCTATACGGGCACCAGTTCGAGTCCTGGCTGCTCCACTTCCGATCCAGCTCTCTGCTATCGCCTGGGAAAGCAGTGGAAGATGGCTCAAGTCCTTGGGCCCCTGCACCCACATGGGAGACCTGGAAGAAGCACCTGGCTCCTCGCTTCGGATCAGTGCAACTCCAGCCATTGTGGCCAACTGGAGAGTGAACCATCGGATGGAAGACCTCTCGCTCTCGCTCTCTCTCTCTCTGCCTCTCTTTCTGTCTGTATAACTCTGACTTTAAAATAAATAAATAAGTCTTAAAAAAAAAAAAGTACCTAGGATCAATACCCAGCTCTGGCTCTTGGCTCCAGCATCCTGCTAATGCAGACCTGGGGGACAGTCGTGGAGGCTCCGGTCATTGGATTCCCACAATCCACAGGGGAGACCTGGATTTAGTTCCTGGGTCCTGGCTTCAGCCCTGCCCATCCTTGGCTGTTGTGGGAATTTAAAGAGAGAACCAGCATAGGAGCTCTCTCTGTCTTTATACCTCCCAAATAAGTAAATAAAAATTTTAAAAAATCGTCTCCCACAAAAAGTGGCATTACAATGTATAACCAAAAAACCCATAAAACAACTATTCAAATAAATAGAACGTATTTATTTAATTTTTTGAATGGGTCACTCATTCATAAAAGCTGAACATTCCAAAATTGTGGAGCTGAAAGGCGTCAGTTAGTACAGGAATGATAGGAGGGTAGAGGCGACAAAGGCCCTTCTGGTAATGCAGAAAATTTTTTTAATCTAGATGGGAAACCCGCCTGGGCCAGGAGGCGAGTCTGATAAAGAAGGAGACATAAAGCATTTCCAAAGCAGGCTCTGGACTCGAGGCCACGTAGAAGGCCAGGTGACTGGAGTTGTCTGCGGCCAGTCTCAGGGGTGTGGTGAAGACAGCTCCCCTGACAGGCCCCAAAGGAGAGCTTTTCTTTGTTCTGTGAGAACTGTTTGACAAGAATATATATAAAATATAATTTATGTATATTTATATAAATTATATAAACATATAATTTATATAATGTATATGTAATTTATAATATATAATATCTATAAATATATAACTTCCTAGCAAAAGAAAGCAGCGGAACTCTCTCTCCCCTCCTGGCTATATCATGGGAGTTTCTTTTCCAATAAACTTGTTTGCTGAAATTGTCTTCTCATGTGGTCGTCTGCTTCACACCTTGCTGCAGACAGAGCCTCAGAATCACGTACAGGAAAAATTATGTCTCCCATCTCTGTCCCTCATCTACAAGCGGCCACACCCCTTTCAAGACAAGTAAACGTGTATGTCTTTAACTCTTTATTTTGAAATAAATAGGGCCATTGCAAAACTAATAAAGAGAAGTCGTGGTGTAGTCACTATTTAAGACTGGCAGTCTAATCTAGCAGGAAATGTCATGAGTACATGCGCACACATAGTGTGTGGTGTTTGCACTGTTTAGCTCACGTGGTCTGGTGATGTGCACACTTTAGTTCCTTGCTGTGATGGACGAAATGTTTGTGTCCTGACCCCTTACTCACATGTTGCAACCCCAGGGGGATGATATTGGGAGGCGGGGCTTTGGGAGGTGATTGGGTGGTAAGGGTGGGGCCTCACAAATGAGAATCAGCATCCTTATAAGAAAAGACACCAGGAGCCAACTCAGTGGTGCAATGGGTTAAGCCATTGCTTGCAAAGCTGGCATTCTATATGGGTGCTGGTTTGAGTCTTGGATGCTCCATTTCTGATCCAGCTCCCTGCTGATGGCCTGGGAAAAGCAGCGGAAGACAGCCCAAGTGTTTGGGCCTCTGCATCCATATGGGAGACCCCAAATGAGACCTGGATGGAACTCCTGGCCCAGCCTTGACCACTGTGTCCATCTGGGGATTGAAACAGCAGATGATCTCTCTCTCTCTCTCTCTCTCTCCCTCTCTCCCTCTCTCCCTCTCCCCCTATCGCTCTCTCTCCCTCTCTCCCTCTCCCTCTCTTCCCACTCCCTCTG